CGAATGCGTTGACTCTACTTGTCCCAACTATCTCGTCAAAAATGATCTGTTGACATTTCACAAGTCCCATTCACGTAATTTGCGTTCGCGCAAAAAATGAGCATTTATCCAAACGCAAGACCTCCAAATATTAACACTTTTATTTTTCTTAAATAGAACGTCAGAGTTTGTAGAAGACGCGCTTTCCACACCGGAGTCTCGCAGTCAGAATGAATAGTCACTTCAATCGTTAAAACTTTACTTACTGAAAACAAGTCGAGCCTGGTCTCTGCGTCTCCTAGTAACCAACCTTTCTTATACCCCTGTTATACCCCTGTTACACGGGCACACTTAACCGCGGTTAACTCAGCTTTAACTGCGGTTACGTGGCAGCACAGATGCCGCACTATACGCTCGGACAGCTATTTCAAAAGAAGCGAAGAGTGCGCGTCACTGCTTTGATGTGTGCTCAAGATGCTCAAGCGCACGTTCGCTCATAGCTCTGACCGCATCGCCGCAGAATGTTGTCGGCAAGTATTGTGCGCTAATTGTGGTTTAGCGTAACTGCAGTTAAGTGTGCCCGTGTAACAAGGGTATTACACGGGCACCCTTAACCGTAGTTAACTCAGCTTTAACTGCTGTTACGTGGCACCACATTTAACGCACTATACTCTCGGACAGCTATTTAAGAAGAAGTGAAGATCGTGCGTGCACTGCTTCGATGAGTGCTCAACATGCTCAAGCGCACGTTCGCCCATAGCTTTGACTGCATAGCCGCAGAATGTTGTCCGCAAGTATTGTGCGCTAACTGTGGCTTACCTTAACTGCAGTTAAGTGCGCCCGTGTAACAAGGGTATTAGTAGTCTAATGTCAAACTCAAAATCCGCAACGACACACTTGATCCACGGCACGTTGCGCTTAAAAAGCACATTCAGGGGCTGTATCTAGACACCTTCATACGATAGTTGCTGTTTCAGATAAAATTCCAGATGAACAACGAAGAACAAACCGCGCCCGGATCGTCATCCATGGCAACACACTGCTAATACAAAATAAATGCGAACTAAAAAAAAAGGCCGCCGAGAAAACTGAAAAAAGAGAGAAAGCGGAAAAAAAAATGTGTTTGCTTGCACGTCACTTGACCGGCGTGTTGAAAATGGCGACCTTTGACCTTCTCCCGTCCTTGAAGCATTGCTGTGTCCGTGTGTAGTGTGTGCAGTGGGAGGCGGAAAAGAGATTTCCGTGTGCGCGCCCTTCCCCCTCCCACCAACAACCTACTCCGCGTTCTTTCTTGCGCTCCTCGTACACGCGGGGGTTGGGAAGATGGGCCAGAGAGGGTTCGTCAGGAAAATGGGAAGGGGTCTCTGTTTGAAAAGAACCTGTTTTTAGCGTATCGTTCGTCAGAACTTAGAAGTTGGTCGTCTCCGATCATTGCGGGATCCGGTTTGGATTCGCGGTGCTGCAACACTGCACATGATCTGTTCTGAAGTCACAAGACAACGGAACCGATTAAGGTATGTCAAAGCACTTCTGCTTATGGTACATTGATTAACTGCGACTTCAGAAAGTGTTTTAATTTGAGCGCGTTCTCTAGCTCCCAAAGCGCGCGCCAAGCTCTATTCTTTTTGGCACCATGGTTGCTTATTTTGTTATGCAGCAGAGAGATTCAATCGTATCGAGCAAAACGCCAGTTCTACGGACGGCTTATTTTTTTGCGTTTTGCAGACCCTGGCAGAGAATCGCTTTATCATAAAGGCCTGTTCACACGTGCAGCAGAGAGCTACAAGCGTAGCACTGACCTAGCGCTAAGCGCGTGCTGACGGGAGCATTCACCAGCTTTGCATCGCACCATCAAACTCTTGGTCATGACAGAGGAAAAGCAGCTCACGACACGTGAGCAGCGTTACTTCAGCGCTGCGCTGCATGTGAGAACCGGCCTTAATAAAGCCATTTATTCGAAAAAAAAAAATTGGGTTGTGTGTGTGTTTATACAGCCTAGAACTTGGTCTGCCTCACAGGGGCGACGAGTCTCCCAGCTGTAGATGAGCAATTTAGCCAGTGCGGTCAACCGCTAGCCTGGGGTCTTTAACGTGCTCACGCAGTAGTGATACACGACCGCACGCCGGTACGATGCTCATCCAGATCGAAACGGGCAGGGGTGGGGCTCGAACCCAGGATCCCTGGGTTCTGCAGCGCGAGCTTTCGCCCCACGTGCTCCGAGCTGGTGTGCGCTAGACCACTCGGCCACCGATCCCCCCCCATTTATTCGATTGTACAGACTTTCGCGTTGATGGCGTGAGCTCGCTTCGTCACTTTGAAGCATAGTTTCAGCACGCACACGCTGGGTCTGTAATTCGCAGCGAACGGTCTACTAAAACTATAATATTGCGCTGGTCTGCTTTCAACAGATCACATGTTAGATGTAAACCAATGTACTACTTTTGTAGACTATTTGTTATTTTATTATGTGTGTGTATTTATCTCATAGTTTTGCTGAGCGACCGGGTATTTCACGTTCCCCCGGTTGCTAATACACCAAATTCCTCGCAAACAGGCAAGAAGCTGCCGGTGCCCCAATAAACGGTGCTTGGACCACGACCCGTTCGGACAGACGTCCCAGTGTTCAAGCCATCGTCGACGCAAGTGCACTCTTTGGAATTTGGCCTTATCGTGGATTCTACCGCTCAAGAACTTCGACTTCAGTCATCCTTAAATGCGATGTGTATCTACGAGGCAATAGAGCTACGTTTAACTTGAACTGCACAATTTCGTTTCGGAGATTTGTGGCTCGGGACCGAATGTAAAGGATAAACCTTTACTCCCAGGGGTCTAAATCCAAGGGAGCAACGTTTAGACCCAGGAGTCCAAGCGCAAGGGCCTAACAGTTGGTCCTCGGGGTTCATTTGAAACGGTGTAACAGTCAGTCCCAGGGGTCAGAGTGCAAGGGCCTAACAGTTCGTCTTCGGGGTTCAATTGAAGTGGTGAAACAGTTGGTACCAAAGGACCAATTGCAAGGGCCTAACAGTTGGTCCTCGAGGTGCAATTTAAACGGTGTAACAGTTAGTCCCAACTGTGCTAATGCAAGGGACTAAAGGAAAGGTGCAACTGTTACTCCCCTTTCCGTCACTCCCCGAGTAGACTAAAGGTGTTGGCAACGCACTTGCTCCACTCTGGGACTAAGTCGCGCTCCCCTTTTTCCTAGAGTGTATAACTTAACGAAGTTTTAGCACGATGTCGCTTTTGTGCGTGGCACAACTTAATTTAACAGAACCAGCAACAATCACACCGGGACCCATAAGATTGGCGCCCTAAAATCCAAAAAAACTCCAGCTTATGGGTGAACCGTGACATCAATTGAGGCTCGTCCGGTGATAGGCCAAAATGGGCGTACACTCTAAAAAAAAGTATGTGTATCTACTTTCACGCACAACAGTCGGAGAGCCAATCAGCGCAACTTACAGAGGCAGCTCAGCAAATGACCATGCCGAAATATATGTTTAGACCAAAAAACGAAGACTGAGTTGTGACATTAAGCAATGCAAGCGTGACGTTTTGCATTGCTTAATGTCCTCCTCTTTTTCGATTGTAAGTCATTTAAAAAGTTATTTAAGCCTTTTAAGCCTTTTTCATTTAGTAGCAACGAAAATTTTGTTTTTTGGCAAAACGAATTTCTACTATAAAATAAAATATTATTTCAGTTCACGGGCGCGCAGAGGGAAAATAGTGAAAAGCCGAGAGGCGTGAAACTTGAAAACCGTTTAGTTCGGTATCAACATAAGATCGTGTTGTTGTTGTTTTTGTTTTCTGTTGAGAAAAACAAAACTGGGGAATCATTGTGTTTTGTCCGGTTTGTCGCGCAATTCTTGGTTCCAGGCGTGAAGGGAGCTGCAGGAACGTTTCCTGGCTGACGCCTGCAGTTTCCGGTACTCCTGCGCGTTCATGTCGAAAAGCTTTTGTCAGACCTCGTCTAGCACGCCGCGATCTTTCCTGCACATTCATCCAGCTTTTCATCAGAGGCCCTTTGGCGCCTGTGGTGTACTGAAACATTGGTACACGTCCCTGCGCGAGCCCAAGACTGCGTTGCTTTCACCCCGAGCCTCCTGGAGCAGGACCACACTTGTGTCATGTCTTGGGTTAGCAAAGGTGATTGAACTCTGCGTTCAGTCTCTCACAGTGTTCTGTCTCACTTGGTGCGCTACAGCCACACGCAATGATTAGTGATCTTCGTAATGGGATAGCGCCGCTCACAACGCGATTGGCAATAAACGGTGACGACAAAAAAGAAGGTTCCTACACACAGCGGTTTTTGAATATGTTTGAATTCGCTTAATTCACAAAGTTCTAAATTTCTGAGATACGTAGTTTTATTGTGCAGAAAGTAAAACGGGGTTTATTTTCTAGAACTAACTTTGTAATTCAAATTCACCCACGACTCCTTGAAATGCGAGAGCATTTCCTTTGATTTACTTCTTGCTCACAATATTTTTATGTCACGTAATGAAGACGTTGGATTGCAGTGGCGATGAAATATGCTGACATGTGAGAGAAGATACGCGATAACCAGAAAGCTATCTTGCGCAGCCGAAACAAAGACTTTATATGTGCATACTGTTGTGTATTGTGTTGCAATTGGTAATAAAATAGATTTGCCTCGAATGATCAGGTACAAGTTGCTACAGTGCTCACGCTCTTCATTGATTTGTAGCACGGCAGATATCTGGACCTGAACGAATGATTGCTGCGAAGAATTTTTTTAAATTCTAGTAAAATTAAAGCAAAACGGCCCCTTAGGTCAAGTCTCTGTATTTCGTTTTTCGCGTTATTTTCCCAGCTAAAGCTAAATGAAGTTAATACAACGTTCTAATAGGCATTTTATTGTAAAAAGATATTGTAAATACATATATTTATTATGATTATTTTCTCATATAACACTGAATTCGAAAGTCAACAAGCAACGGTTTTATTTATACTTCTTCAGAGGCATGGATATTTGAGGCCGCAATTTTCCACCTTGTAACTGTTCAAGACACCTCACTGTCAATATTTTCGCACTTTCCGAACCAGCACCGCTGAAAAAGAGGGAACAATTTTCATCTCAAATTTATGAAATTTGTCGTGGCGAGACACCTCGGAATATTAATCAGCCGTCAATTTATGCTTGCTACGCGATTTTAAGCACCGCGCAGAAGTTTTAACGTAGGATCCCTTTATTACGCGTACGGGCCTGATTTCGCTTTTGGAGCATAATATATGCTAAAAATAAGCATTCAGCGAAAATCGGACAAGGTTAGCAAGAAGATATGTCTGAATACATATACAGGGTGAAACAAGGAGACGCCAGGCTCTTTAAATCGACCGGAAAATTCGGTTTCTTAACCTATCGCGCTACGACTTTGTGCAGCGTTGCCCACGGATGGTGCTTTTTTTTTTTTTGTAAAATTTGCGAAGAGTGAACTTACCTGAAGAAAAAGTAAAGAAAGAAAAAGACTTAGCTCCTCCTATGGAAACGCAGCGACGCCACCGGTCTGCAAACAACACGGCGCCGTTTCGCACGGGAGACAAGAGATGGCGCAACAAACGCCGCCAACGAACGAACATACGGCGCCGAGAGCAGGCCTTTTTAGCAGACGATCTTTTCGACTCAAAAGCGGCGCGCGTTCCCCAGGCGGCGACAGTCGCAGAAACAAAAAAGACAGGCGCGGTGACAGCAAGGAACTGCAGTTTTTTGTCTGCAAAAGGGCCGGCTCTCGGCGTCGTCTGCTCGTTCGTTGGCGGCAGTTGGCGTCGGGACCGCTTGCACCATCTCTTGTCTGCCGTGCGAAACGGCAACGTGTTGTTTGCAGACCTGCGTTTCCATAGAAGCTATACCTTTTTCTTTCTTTACTTTTTCCTCAGGTAAGTTCGCTCTTCGCAAATGTTACAAAAAAAAAAAAAGCACCATCTGTGGGCCACGCTGCACAAAGTCGTAGCGCGACAGGTGAAGCAACCGAATTTTCCGGTCGATTTAAAGAGCCTGGCGTCTCCTTGTTTCACCCTGTAGTTGTAGCACATTTGTGTGTACATGTGCGAATAACTTAAGACAAAACAAACATGCACGTATACGCACTATATACTGACATTGAAGAAGCGCCTCCTGAGTCAATATCACTTTTGAATAGGTTTGAGCTGTTCGCAATTTGTGACGAACTCTCCTTATATGCTTTCCGTCCGGGTATAATGTGTGTGCGAGCAGCATGTGGCATGCCGAATGGGTTTGGTGTCTTTGAGCGAGCCAGCAGATAGCACAGTTCCTATTAATTTTAGCTTCACGTCAAAGCGTGGTTGGTAATTAACATCAGACAAAGAATGCTTAAAATGGGTAAGCGGCGCTTGGTCAATCTGCTCTCTTTTTCATCTCCTACGGAGTTCGAAAGACTGCTCTTGCTGGCGATCCTCTCTGTTCAATGTGAAATCGCAGATAGACAGAACTGGGAAGTTTCGCGGTACACATGTATACCGATAGCATCTTAGAGAAACTTCTGAGTATCTTTATATTTCTTTCAAACTACATGCGAAATAAAAATTTGAATCTCAGTTCTAAAAAAAAAAAATATCGATGTACCGCTTGTATTGCAAAACTGTGAGAGGCTTGGTTATCTCGTTAGATTAGATGCCGAATCTTAACTCTCCGATGTTCAGCATAAATTCAGAAAAACATATTTTTGGTGAACCCGCCCCATAACCTTTTTACAAAAAAAAGGCCTAAGTTATATTTTAAAAATGGTTCGGAAAAGGGTCGATTTTAAAAATTGCACAATAAGCTCCTCTCAAGAACTCCTTCGCCCTTCCTACAATGCCAGAGGGAACTCCAGAGAAGAGGAGAGTGGGGAAAAGGAAACCTCTAATCATCGAGATTAGAGGAGCTTATCCTCCTCTGATGGCGCAGCAAAAAGAAGTTCAGCTTTTTTTTTGTCCAACCTATCCACCCTGGGTGACTCAGGTGTGCTTGGTAGGAGAATTAGAGAAGCACCATCAAGCAAAAGCGGGGTTAATTTAAGAAAAATGTATTTTTTCAAGCATGGTAGTTGGCATCTAGACCCAACAGGAGTCGCTGGGGCAACATTTCGCACCATTAAAGATGGCACACTGTATTACTGTAGTAATCACGGACTTTTTGAAAACAAATCTAGAAACCTAAAAGAACAGGCTGTGCATCACTGAAGGTTCATTGGCGCCAGATATTACTTGCACCCCTAAAGAGTCGAGCTAACTAAAAATATATATAACAATCATTGCCTACCTAGTGTTAACTAGGAGAATATATACTGTAAAGCCGCTCTTGAAGCACACATAGAGTCGCTGTCAGTCGAAAGATCGCAGGGTGTGGACCATTATGGTCTTGATTCTGAGAGCTGATCGGCTCCTCGACGTCCTTATCCACTGATGCCGAGGTCTTATAGGCTACCGAGCAATAGTAAGATGTTCAGTATCCGGCACTTAATGCGTTTCTTAAATTGTTGGTGCTCTAGCTCCCCTAAATGACAGGTTCCCTTCTCCGCACACATCAGAAACACCCATAACCCCCAAGCTGCTTCAAAACTTAAAAAAAGAAAAAAAAAATATTTTGGGATGTCCTACCTTTCCATTATCCCCGCATGGGTAACCAAATGGAGCAAAGCGTTTGTCCGTGATTGTGTACCAACCTAATATATCAATATGGCACGTTATGACGCAGTTCTCCATACTCTGAAAATATTTGTAGCAAGAAAGGTAGTTAACTTCAAACATTTGCTCTGCGACAAATCTGTGATTATGTTTTCAATATTAATTTAGATACGAAATTGTGCAGAACATATGAGCACATAACCAGAGACACTACAGCAAATGTCTAAGGGTCTCCGAAAGCGATGGCTTTTTTCAATTGAGATAGATGGTCAGCGAATAAAGAGTTGTTGACATATTTTATGCCTATGGGTGGGGTCCCAAACAAGGTGAAAACATTAAACTTTAGTCGTACATGTATTATTTGTGCAGTAGGTTCTATTTCCGGTACATGTTTAGCGATTTCACGTCCGTTTCTGTCTAGGTTTCATACCCGACGGTCTAGTCCTTATACAGGGTGCTTTTTTTAGCTGCACCAAATTTTCAAAAAAAGAGGAGCTGGATTAGGGCACTTTTAGTTATGCCATTAGCATATCCGACCTGGCGCCCACTAGGAACCAATTATTTTGTGCGACTAGGCGACTAATTAAAGGAGATCTCTTAATTAAATTTTAATTATTGTTTTTAGAGAACCTATTGCATTTACGAAATTAAGGCCCAGCCTTAATATGCTCCATCCCCACAGCGAAGTAAAGGCAGAAACAATTTCTGCGCGCGTTTTCGGCTAAATTATTTCATTCCCGCAGGCTCTTTCAAACCGAAACTGACTAGAACAAGACCGTCAATGACGTCGCTATCTTCGCCCTCGCTTGGCGTCACAGCAGTGACGTCATCTGTGATGCAGGCACTGCCGTCACCTCTTTTGCAATACGCTGCTCTCTCCTTAGTGTTTTGCTTACCCCTGCAGGTGCAACTTAGGCGTCTGCGGTCGGCGACAGCTGTGCTGTGACATATCCCTCTCTTGACCTGCGGGCGAAGCGACGCTTGCGTTGGTACGATAAATTCTGTTGCATGCATTACCAACGGCCGGCAACGTTAGACAAGTGTCCTGCGTTTTATTTGGGAAAAATATTTTTTCAATGCTGGAGACCTCTGCTACCTATTATTTGCCCCGCTGCTTTATTTCTAAGTTCTTGCTTTTTGATGCATTAAACAATCCAGGTTTTTTTTAAGAACAAAGTAATCATGTTCGTGCAATATCACTCGTTGGCCCCTCTGGCAGTTAAACTATTGCAGCGTGTAACAAACAAATATTTTTTTTGTTCTATGTTACGGTAGTCATGTGCTATGCGCGGCTCAGTGTGAACACGGCATCGGCGCTTTTTCAAGTCTAGCTCAAACAGGGCAGCGTTGAGAACTAAGAGTGACTGCCTCACTTAGAGCCCCAAATAATACTTCAAGAATAAACAGAGTGACGGACAACGCAACTTTCGTCCTTTCGTGCCTCTGTCAGTCCAGCTCTCTGTTTATTTCACTGTCCGTGCCTCTGCTTATTATTTCAGTATCATTTAGTTTACCAACACGCTGACGTCTAACTTAGAGCCCCAAATAAGCACTTTTCACAGCACCAGTATTTTCTTCGGAAACCTTTTAGTTCGCCGAGAAAAGCAGGAAAAATATGGCTTAGCCTATCTTGGTACTTAAAAAAAAAAATAAAGAAAGCTTGGCAGCCAAAGTGATTTGGGCATGTATAAGCCACCCAGCGTTTGCCGCCGCCTGGACACTTTATGAAGTTGGAAAGAGTTGCGTTCAAAGCAATTGCCCGAATCGGTGTCCATCTACAGAAACACGCACATCTTCAGGCCGCTCCGCATGGAACGCAACACGCGCTCGAGCATTTCAGGCGGAACTGCGGCACCGGTGGCGACGATTCTTTGTTTCAGGTTGTCCACTCTGGTGGGTTCCGTAGCGTAGACTTCCTTTTGACTGAACCCCAAAGAAAAAAAGCTAACGAGCTCAGATCTGGTGATCGTGCCGGCAACGGAACTTGACCACTGCGTCCAATCCACTGCTCTGGAAAAGTCCGGTGTAGAAATCGAACAGCACGTGACGGAGAATGCGCTGGAGCGCCGCCCTGTTGAAACCACGTCTCCTTCAGCACGCTGAGAGGCAGGCCGGCAATAGACTCTTCCACGACTCCCTCAAGGATTCTCGCCGTGTATAGTTTTCCGTTCAGTGTGCCGTCAAAGAAATACGAGCCAATGATTTTATCATTAAATATTCCACACCTTACGTTAATATACCATCTCACTTGATTTTTGTGCTGATGGTGCCAACGAGGATTTACGCTTGCCCAGTAATGGGCATTGTGAAGCTTCACCATTGAATTTCTACAGAATTGAGCCTCATCACTCCAAATAATTTTTTTCAAGAATCCAGGATCCCGGTTCATTTCAATAGGGGCCCAATTGCAAAAGTCCAGTCGGCGTTGGAAGTCACTGCCATGTAGCTCCTGGTGCTGGCTAACGTCGAACGGATGCATGCGATGCTTCACAAGCACTTTCCATACTGTAGAGACCGTTGTTTCAGAAGACCTCGCAATTTCGCGCACGCTTGCTTCAGGCTTAGCTGTTACGTACGCGAGAACGTCAGTCTCGAATTTGCGGCTAAGGACATATTTTTTCTGTCTTCCACCATGCCACTTGACGCAAAATTGTTGAAAACGCGTATGAAGGAAGTGTGCGCAGGAAGGAAGCGACCTGGGTCCTGAGCGGCATAAAGTTGCTCAGCATTACGAGCATTCTTTTGCGTAGTTAAATATGCGATCACCATGTCTGTTTTTTCTTTAACCGAAAGTCTTGTCGCAAGGAGCGACGCCATTCAGATGCGTTTCCTGCCAGTCAGAGACAGGAAGGCGCAGCACTATAAATCGCATGGTGCCTGTGTTATTTGTAGCCTTCGTCCTTCCAAAGATATGGGTGCAAGCCTGTGTCTTTTACAACAGAAGAGCAAGTGACGCAGCGTTCGTCACTTTTTAGCACCATTGAACAAGTCTTCAGAGCAGCTTGTATCATATCAACGAAAGGAAAGGGTAGCGTCAGGAAGCCCGCTAGGACAGCGTGTTTTACGCCTGCCGCGGTAAGCAAAACACTAAGGAGAGCACCGTCAATTAGCCGCCTAGTTGCCAAAATACTTTGTTCCTAGTGGGCGCCAGATCGGGTATGCTAACGGCTTAACTAAAAGTGCCCTAACGCAGCTCTTCTTTTTTTAAAATTTGGTGCAGCTAAAAAAAAATACCCTTTATATGCAATACCTAAGAGGCGTTTGAGGTAACGTGAATAAACAAATTTAAAACAAGTCTTTGTTCTTTCGTACAAAGACAAAAATCGAGATTGTACTTTTCCAACCATAAAGAGAGTATAGCTCTATGGGAGCCTGAGCTGTGACGTATGTTCATGACACAGCACAGACATAATCAGCATTACTTGAAAGGCAGCTTTTCTTATTGGAAACGTTTTTATTAGCCCACAACTCAAGGGTTGCCCAAACAGAAAAAAAAATGCTGTGCACAGCAAAAAAAGAATTGTGCACGCTTCTAAAAAGCGTGAAGTGTGCTGCGCGCGCCTACGTTTTCAGTGAGGGCATCAACCATGCAAACAACACGCCTTTCCTCCCCGCCTCCCCACTATCGTCCCCTCCTCTTTCTTGTTTTCGCAAGATTGGCGATTGACAAAAACAGTTGGGTCTTGACGACAGCCAGCCGAGCGTGTGTCTCCTGATCCACGTGATGAGCACCCTTAAAACATCTCTACAAGAACCCAAGTAGTAAAGAGCATTTCCCCCAGCGAAAAAAAAAGAAGACGTTTGCAAGCGGTTTGGAGCGGAAGGAAACCATTCATTTGCAGCGACAGCAAATGCTGTGGCTGCACAAAAGGTGCACTGTTTCGACAGATCTTCAGCATGCTGCGCGCATTCCCGAGAGGTAGGGGAGCGGATTTCAGGGCAGGAAAGGTATACGAAGGGGAACGGGAGTGATGCTCACGGCCGAAGAGTATCGCTCCCGGTATGCCTGTCGACAAAACCTCTCCGGTGTGAACGACCGGTTCGCAACCTCCTTGGTGACGTTAAAAAAGTCATAGTCGGATTGCGTTTTCCAGCATTGCTCTCCACGTAGTCTGCAAACAAGCAAGAATCGATCATTATATGAATTAAAATAACAATATATCGAAATTTGGGTGTGTGCAATGGGAGAAATACGGATGCTTTTATGATAATGCAATTTATTCAAAGGTGCAAGCGAGCTGCACTAGAATGATGAAAATATTCCCTGGAGAAGAGGAACAAACGGGGACAAAGGAAACACATCAATCTCCAAACGCAGCTAGGTGACTGGTGCGCGACAGAAAATATCCGCTTGGTCCTGGTATCGAATCAGGGACATCTCTATTTCCAGTAGAGGTCTCTGCCTACTGAAATAATCAGGAGTTAGGCGTCAGTAGAGCAAACGGGTTTTATCAGTTGCCGCCGGTCGAACACCAACAACCCTAGTGAAAAAGCCATTTGTCTGAGAAATTTCTTGTGTCCAATAAACACATATGAATCATGAAAGGTATATAAGAACATATAAGAAGCATATAAGAACCGTAAAAAGAACTATATAAGACATATATGAACATATGAGAAAATTTTCACAAGCTTTTTTATATAGTTCTTATATGTTCTTATATATCTTTTATGATTCATATGTGTTTACTGGACGCAGGCATTTCTGATACAACTGACATTTTTTGATACGGAAGCGTAAATAACCGGCATATCAAGGTTATTATGATAATGAAAATAATGCAAAGGTGCAAGCGAGCTGAAAAAGCACGATAAAAAAATCGCCGAAGAAAAAGAACAGGGGAAAAAGGACAAACACAAATCTCAAGACAGCTTGGAGAAATTAACTGTGTTTGGAGATATTTGTTTGTCCTTTGTCCCCCTTGTTCTTCTTTTCCAGGGGATATTTTTATAACGGACGTTTTCCTAATTCATGAGTTTAGGTTAATAATACACAATTTAAATTTTTAATGAACGCACACGAAGCAAGAGAGAAAATTATCCTTCCACCAGCAGAACGCAGTCGATATACTAATGCCTCTTTAATTGGAGTGATTATCCAAAATGCGTGCCAACAAAAATTCTCAGGGCCCACTCACACTGAGTCAACACGACGGACACAGCAACACAATATGTTGTCCAACAATCGTGCAAATTGGTGCTCCCTTCCCATGTTGTCCGACAACCCTGTCACATCGCAGCAACAGTAGCACAACATGGATGACAACGAAAAAGTTACGTTGGTATGACAGGTTTCGGCAACAAAAACAGAAGCAACTTGTGCTGGACTACGTATGCTGCTCTGATCACTGGCTGGGCGAATTTCGGGCCGACAACAAGACAACACAGATAGCTCTAAGGGCAGAGCTAGTTTCCTATCAACTTCATTTTCTTATGAGCTTAATGAAATAAAGGCTTGGAAAACGTTATCCAACAATAATTGAGGCTGTCATGCAGCTAAAATAATCTTATGAATGCTTCACTGGATAATTATGGCAAGTGCTTGTCGAAATGGTCACAGAGGCGGTCGTGAACGTTCAGACTGGTGTTGAAATTGGAACTACCGAGAGACCAGCTTACATTACTGATAGTGAAATAAAATGGCATGTCTATACTCGACTGCTGATAAAGTATTATTAAAACGACGCAAGAAAGCAAAGGTTAAAAAATAACAGCAATGAAACGACCGCTATGATAGAGAGTCTTGATTTCATTTCATTTCATTTCATTTATTATAACTTCAGGCGCCCACGGGGCTTCATATAAAGGGGGCAAGTACAACATTATTCAAAACACAAACAGAAAAGAACTAAAACAAGAAAGCAGGTGTTACGGTTGCGATGCGTTTAAGTAAATGGTAAAAGAAGCTCTGAAACCAGAGGATTCTTGGATGATTACAATATTATCACGAAGGGAGTTGCATTCGTATATAGCCAACACTAACGGGGATAATATTAAAAAAATTAAGATATATAAATGATCTATGCACACGCGAATAATTAAGTAGTTTATTTTTTTTCTTACAACTTGTGCGCTAGAGCGATACCCTGGTGCTCTTTATATGCATGCTTAAATTGATCGGAACAGAAGTAATTTTCCAATATTCAACGTGTATAAATAAAAAATGAAAGCCGTTTACAACTCCCTGTAACACCGAATTGGAGCGCAGCTCTTGAGGAGGAGGAGGGAAGGGTACTGAGGGTAACCTGTTCTCGGGGCGGGGGGGGGGGGTCATGTCACCTTGGGGGGTCACGTGACCCCCCCAGAAAAATTTTTCCGCTAGATTTAGCGGGGAATTGTTTCCGCTAGATTTATCGGGGAAATTTTTCCGCTAGGTTTAATGGGAAAATTTTTCCGCTAGACTTAGCGGGGAATTTTTTCCGCTACATCTAGCGGGGAAATTTTTCCACTAGATTTAGCGCGGAATTTTTTCCGCTAGATTTAGCGGGGAAATTTTTCCGCTAGATTTAGCGGGTTAATTGTTTCGCTAGATTTAGCGGGGCATTTTTCCCGCTAGATTTAGCGGAGAAAATATTCCGCTAAATTTAGCGGAGAAATTTTTCCACTAGATTTAGCTGAGAAATTTTTCCGCTAGATTTAGCGGGGAATTTTTTCCGCTAAATCTTGCGGGGAAAATTTTTTTCGCTAGATTTAGCGGGAAAATTTTTCCGCTAAATCTAGCGGGGAAATTTTTCCGCTAGATTTAGCGGGGAAACTTTTCCGCTAGATTTGGCGGGGAAAATTTTCCGCTAGATTTAGCGCGTTAATTTTTGCGCTAGATTTAGCGGGGCATTTTTCCCGCTAGATTTAGCGGAGAAATTTTTCCGCTAGATTTAGCGGGGAAATTTTTCCGCTAGATTTAGCGGGGCATTTTTCCCGCTAAATTTAGCGGGGAATACTTTCCGCTAGATTTAGCGGGGAAATTTTTCCGCTAGATTTAGCGGAGAATTTTTCTCGCTAGATTTAGCGGTGAAATTTTTCCGCTACAAATTTAGCGGGGAAATTTTTGCGCTAGATTTAGCGGAGAATTTTTTCCGCTAAATCTAGCGGGGAAAATTTTTACGCTAGATTTAGCGGAGAAATTTTTCCTCTAAATCTAGCGGGAAAATTTTTCCGCTAGATTTAGCGGGGGAATTTACCCATAATGCACCGCGCGGTTACGGCGACGGCGACGGCGACGGCGACGCCGACGCCGCTCAAGCCGGAAATGGGCCCCTAAGAGCTGCGCTCTAAAAGGGTTTGTTCGTAGAGTGACCAAATGAAGTTTTTGAGAATCGTCAGTACGCGTGGAAATATGTGGTACAGCCCGGCAATGCAGTTCTCTCTTCGAGGGGCAGTGGTGGTCCAAAGTATGCAATGATGCAAGTCTTTAGATTTTCCTTCTTTGTGCAAGAGTTGGTGCTCCGAGTTTTTCCTTTAGTGAGGGAATGCTTGTGCGCGTGTAGTTTTTAAGAATAGAGCTTGTGGCTCTATTTTGCACTAATTCAAGCCTTTGTGTCCAATAAAACTGATATGGTTTTCATATTAGAGAAGCGTAATAAAGTTGAGATCGAATGAGGGCGGTATATGCTACAAGCTTTGTTTTCCAGTTGGCCATGCGAAGATTTCGACTTAGAAAACCGAGGCTTTGATTTGCTTTTACACTTATGTGATTGATGTGGGCTTCCCAAGACAAGTTTGATGTGAAATGACCCCCAAGATATACGTATGTATGCACATGTTCAAGAGCCCCATCGAAGAAAGTCTGTGTTAAACTCTGCTGCCCGTACGAAAATGTCAGATATGGCCCTGATATATTTTCTATACGGCCAGATATGATAATATAAGCAGTCAAATAGGGCTGTATTTCGCCAGATATGGGAGCTAATACGGCCGTATTTCGCAATATAGGTGGATAAATACTGCCAGATCTGGCCGTATAAGTGCGTAAATACGGCCATTTATCAGCATACACGCGTGCAAATATAGCCCCTGATAATGATATATGGCCCGTTTCAGTCGTGCAAGCAACAAGTTATATGTACTCGCCACGACACTGGTTGATTGATCTATATTGCATGAGTCTCATGTAATTGGGTAACTATTGTCAACACCCTTAAAGTGAAGTTACTCCAGGTATTTGGACCAATTAATCAATTGCGCAATTTGAAGATTGAAAGACAAATGAAATTTGGTTGTATGTTTGATGTGTGACAATATGACGAAGTGCGATCGGAACGCGAGTTAATCAAATAATTGATTTTAGTCGCAGCTCTTAGGCACCCCTTTTCCGAGTTAAGCGGTCTGTGCGTCGCCATCGGTGTAACCGCCCCGCTAAATTTAGCGAGAAATTGAATTGGTATGTAAGTCACGTGAGGTCAATTTTCCCGCGAAATCTGGCAGTAAAACAAATTTTTTTCATGTTTCACCGCTAAATTGAGCGGGTAAACACGAAACGTTAGCTTACTCAAGATGCAAGACGCTACTTCGCCGTCCCGAATCTTTTTCTCTTCGAACGGAAGCCGTTGCGCCCGGAGTACAATACGCAGCTCTTTCAAAACCGTTCGAGCAGCATCGCATCCGTTCGTTTGCGAGCGTCGGCGATTCATCGTGTGTTGAAAGTCGGAAGATGTGCTGTCCGTGGTGCCTTTTATGTGTAACTCGTTTGTAAAAAAAATTTGAAACAGTGTACACATGATTTTAAATTTATTGGTAAAAATATATATACATATTTATTTATCTAGTTATTTGTCGACATCCTGCACAAAAAAAATAGTCGCGTTTATTTTTTTATTAAAAATTATCATGTGGGTTATAGAGCGTAAAACATAGTATCTTAAAACTCGCATCGTTTTGAGTTCAAAAGCTGGACGTAATAGAACTGTATGTTCTCTCGGTATTGACAGCAGGGTAGATACTACGCGTGTTTTAGGCCAATCGTGTCTCCGGTTAGGGTCACGTGACTACAGTCTAGAATTTGTGACTCAACAGGACATCGCACCTGCCTGGCGCCCAAGGCCACACATAGACTTCACAGCACTGTCAACCTTCGTTACAAGTGACACATCCCCTTGTTGTGGCCCCATAAGATAAGCCTTTTGTTCGTGAAACCCCGTTTTGGCATCCTCTTCGATCCTTTTCTCTCTCTCCCTAAGCTGAAAGCGTTGTAAAAGGTGAGTGGTCACGTGGTTTGTCGGATGACGCATTAGCCGTTGCCGATCTCGGAATGCGTTTAGCCGGACCTAGTTTGGCGTGTGAATTCTCCCGCTGTGGCTGCTGCGTATGTCTGCTTCCGCAAGCAATCTCTTCAAAGCTCAAGAATTTTTTGTGATGCGTTTAGTGTTCGGTTCTACAAACGACAGCTTGTGCTACATCGTGTTGAATCTTCACGGGAACTTTCTCGTTTCTGTGTTCGAGTGGTGGTTTTGCCGTGGCCGTGTCGACATCTCCTTCGGATAACACCTGTCAAGTCGCGCCTCGTCAACATAAGTGCGCTGCAACCTATTTCGTGACAATTGATCGTTTTTGCTAAATGTATTCTTCAAGATTACCTCTAGATTTAGGCCGTGTCTATCTCCTGGCAGCCGGGAGAATCATTGTGCAGAATGTTTCGGCATTGGTGCGATTGAGCTACAAGCAGAAAGTTTCGATATGCCGCCTTCAAAGTTTTGACGTGTCGCCCAAAAACAACAGCAACACAGACTCTTAATTACGCGTTTCAAAATTTGACGAACGGCTTTACGAGTCGCTTGTAGAAAGATTGTTACGATTTTGTGAAATACTGGTAAACAATGCTAGGTTACCGTCATAATCTAAACCCTGAGATGAGGATAAATCAAATAACGGACAACTTTCATTGACTCAGGCTTTATATTATGATGTTTCCTAACTGGCATGCCAACATACTTTCGCTCCTTGCAAGGGTTACCGTCTCGCGGACGGGCGAAACCGTTCCCCTGACGGCGGCGTCTCGGCGAGCTTGCACACGGAGCCGCCGCCGACCGATCGCCGTTATCGGCGTTATGTAACGATAGGCACAGGACATCTACTCCACGAATGGGCAAAAGCCTATGTAAAGGCGTGCACGAACGGAAAAAACGGTAGAAAGGTACCGTTGCTCGTCGCTATGAGATGCGTGCCGCAAACTCGGTCATCCGTGGGCGTGTCCCTCTCGTCCCGCATGTACCTCTAACTTGACGGACACTCTGTCTCGCGATTCATGCCGACAAAACCATCGTCGGGATACCGGGTAATCGCTACAGCCGAGCGCGGCACAGTTTACCATTGCTCCCGCTGTGGAGGGTCGAAGAGTCAACTACCAGCATGGTGGATACCGTTTTTCTTTTTTTTCTTGCAGATTTGTTTTAAAAGAAGCCGTGAACGCTACACTTATGCGGTTTGTTCGAGAGTGATACGCCCGGGGGGACGTTATGCACTTTGCTAATCTTTGCGATAAGTCAGATAATTAATTAAAATTCATTAATTAACTTTTAATTAGTGAAAATAGACATATGGTTTCAATTAGAAACGTGCTGAGCGTTGTCCAAACCCCTAAACCAGTAATTTTTAGAAAGACTGAGCGCGTGTGAAGCGCAGTAGTGCGCTGAAGCTACCCATCGTAGACCAGGTACAAGGCTGGGGCTAGATAAGAGACAGAAAAATTGCGCGGGCGCCTTACCGAAACCGCTAGCCTTGTACCTGCTCCACGAGTGGTGGCTTTATTGCGCTTCTCACGCACTGAAAGACTTTCTGAAAATGACTGATTTAGGTATTTTGGACGACGCTCCGCTAGCTGCTTATTGGAACCGTATGTCTATTTTCACTAATTGAAAAGTTTATTAGTGAATTTTAATTAATTAGCCGAGTAATCGCAAAGCTTAGCGCCCACGTAATGCCCCCCTGGGCGTATAACTCACTCGCAGAAACCGCATAAGTGTAGCTTTCATGACTTCTTTTTTTAAACAAATCTGCAAGAATAAAGAGATCTGCCCAATTTTTCATATATCCATATTTGTTTTTTTATATAAGTCCAGATCTGCCATTTTCGTAAGGGTGGACTTAGCTTAGTACTAAGATTTTGACATTTTGTTTTGGAAATATTTATCTGCATTTGCCACATCAGAGACCCTGTTTTAATTTTATTTAGGTCGCTCTCAAGTTCAATATAATTATGAATGCTAGATGGTTTTCTCCAAATAACACAATCATCAGCATAAAAACGGATGGTGGACTGGATAGTAGCGAGCAAGTCGTTTACATACAAAAGGAAAGTAGTGGGCGCAGCACGGTTCTCTGTGGTACTGCCGATTTTACTTCTCGATGACATGAAGATTCGCGTTCATAGCAGACAATTTGCAAGCGGTCGACGAGGGAATTTAATTATACTGTATGACAGCAATGGTTCCATTTGCACAGCGCGTAATTTAAAAAGAAGAAGCCGTTGATGTGGTACCCGGTCAAATGCTTTTTTACAGTCTATAAAATTACATGAGTAAATTTTAAAGTGAAGGTTCTGATGAAGATATGGGACAAATTCAAAAAGCTAGGTTTCGCAAGAATAATACTGCCGGAAGCTGTGCTGGTTTACAAAGAGCAAGTTGGTGTCCGACAAATGATGTATAATAGTCCAGAAAATTACATGCTCCATCAGCTTACTAGGCACACTTGTCGGAGAGATTAATCTGTATTTCGTCAACTCATTCTTTTGACCGGTCTTAAAATGTAGAGTGGCTTTTGCTTCTCTTCAGTTTGCAGGAATTTTACAAGCACGTAAGGATTGTTGGAAGAGTAAACACAGAAGAGAGGAAGCTTCTTATTTGCAGAGCCTAAGCACTTTCGTTGAAATAATATCAGGGACTCTAGCTCAACTTGGTCGAAGATTTTCTATTAGTTTGTGAATACCAGTCGCACACATAGTATTTTGAGCCATATTAGTTAGTATACTATCTTCACGTAAAATAACTAGCAAGGGAAAGGCCTCATCAGAAAACATTTCACTAATCAAAAAACAATTCGCTAAACAAATTGCCAAATCGTTCACACACATCAACAGCATCCAGCTCGTTTCTCGAAGAATCAGTATAGTGAAAGGGATTGGAAGTGTGCTTGGAGTTAACTGCATTCCAAATTATTTCGTGTTAGTTTTTATAAGGCCTCGAATGTCTTCAATAAAGAACGAATTTTTCGCTTTTGTTTATTTCATTTACACACCATTTGGGGAATTTCGCCATACTTTGCAAATGCATTCAAAGATCGCGATAATTTAGGCTGCGTGGTTGGAAACTTAGAAACAGCCGCTACCAGACACCTGAATTGATTCTAAAATCCCCAGGACGTCTTGGGGAATGAACCACAGTCACTAGTTGATGTCGTCCCGTAGCAATTTCCGGCCCTTCGAACGCTTTACCACATCCACTCTAAAAAAAGTCTGTGCCTCTACTTTCACGCACAACACTCGGAGAGCCAATCAGCGCAGCTTACGGAGGCACCTCAGCAAATGACGATGCCGAAAGATATATTTAGACCAAAAAACGCAGTCTGAGTTGTGACATTAAGCAATGCAAAACTGCATGCTTGCATTGCTTAATATCACAACTCAGTTTGCGTTTTTTGGTCTAAACAGATGTTTCGGCATCGTCATTCCCTGAGCTGCCTCCGCAAGTTGCGCTGATTGGTTCTCCGAGTGTTGTGCGTGAATTCAGAGGCACAGATTTTTTTAGAGTGTTGAAGAGTCGCATTTCCAGCGACGCTTTGCCACACACAAACAAAGGTAAACAATCAAGATGGCGGAGTGTTCCAAGCGTTGGGCCAGGCGTCAGCGCGGTGTGATAGCGTGGTCGGACAAAAAATTGGCCAAAACGGAATCCGAACGACAGCAACTTGTTGCCCTGCTGTTCTTGTTGCCGCGATGTGAGAGGGTCACCGGAAACGCGTCTTCCTCGTTTTGCCGAATAGAGTTGTCCGACTGTTGCATCAGTGTGAACGGGCCTTAAAGGCGTCGAATCAATCAGCCTTGTGTTCCTTTCCGTTCGGTTTGTTCACACTAAAAAACCGACAGACGTACTAGGACTCTAAAGAGAAAATTAATTGTCACGTTTAATGGACTCAGCTACCTTTTGGTAAACGCTTTCATGTTTCTTAAAGTCGATATAATGACCACAATTTGTCTATATCGAGAATAACAGCACAACCACAATACTAAGTATTTTCGTTGTGAACTTGTAGCCTCGTTGCCTCTCCAATGACAGGTGAGCTGCAAGTTCCTTTCAACTATCGCTGACAGCTTAAGGAACATGGTGCGCGTGTTATGGTAACACTTTTAGCGTCGTCGTTCGTTCGGTGGATTCAGATAGTTTTTAAGTGAACTACGATTTAAGTAACTACGATTATAAGTAACATCCCCGTCAACTCGCAAACGATACATTCAAAATTAGGGTGAAATAATAGCATAGGAAATGTCACGGGTCCAAAGGAAAATAAAGGTTCGAAGATGCCAGCACCTAAGGAAGTTCAAGCAACCACTTACTTCAAAACAAATTGCATCTGCTCCTCACTACAACTTGAAAACGTGAAAGGCGGTCCATGAGGCCCTCCACGTTTCATTATGTATTTCTTAGGGTACTCGCAGTCACGAGCACCAGGATGTTTCGGGATGTTTTTCGTGGGACCACTTCCATCGTGCTCGCTCCCGAGCCTGCGAAAATATTGTTCATGCTAAGAAAATTATCTGATGCTCAACACCATAGTCAGGGACAGATTAAGAAACGCAAAGCAAGGCTCATGATGGTCACGCTTCTTATCGGCCCATATCACATTGTTCGTAGCGATGATAAAAGGCATGGGATTCACTAACGGTGACTGAAAAAGCTTTTCCCGGGTGATACGCTGAGCACATGTGTTTATAAAGGAAGCGACGAGATACTTACAAATGCCCAATTTCGTGGGCTATTGTGGCGAACCTATAGTACAGAGGAGGTATTTCCTGGGAAATTCCCACATTAGCGCCTTTCACGCAGACCATTCCAGTATAGGCGACACCTGGAAATTATAATCCATCTGTTGCCTAACAAATACATTCAATAACAATTTTTTTTCAAGCTGTAAGAATGCGCTGTGATGTAAAAATCCCCCTCATTGGAGAAGGAGCTATTTAGAATTATCAGACGTTCATCCACTTAAAATTAAAAATTAACCAAGGCGTGACCGCTTGTGCAATGCCAAGGAAACAAGCCGTATCAAGAAGTGGGGCGGTGTGCTTACAGGGAAAATTTGTTTTCAGAAAGATACAAGCAAAACAAACACGCAAACAAACATCTACAGTTACTTTTTTTAGCGCAAAGCTAAATTACGATGAACTAAACGCTCAGTCTTTGGCCAAATGTCGCGCTCGGTGCTCGAACCTGATGCCAAAGTTTCCGAACTTGCTGACTCAAAGGTTATGAACATTTTCAGGAAATTCACAATAAGACGAGGGCAGTCGACGAAGTCCAGCAACGCATGAAAATGAGTGACGTCCGCTACCGGAAAGGGGACTCAATTTGCCAGTGTAATATTAAAAAAAAAAATGCTTCTAACTTTTGAATTCGAAAACAGTAAGTTTTAAAACTTTGGCATCAGTTTGTACCGTTAGAGCTCGCTTTGGAGGGCACTTAGCATTGGGCAATGCGTAGGCTGTTGTTGATTTTCGCGTTTGGTGTTGTCGAAATCTCACCACGAATATAAGTGAAAATTTCAAAAGATATTCGTTGAATGTGATTTTTATGATCATCATCTGACGACAACCCTTTTCGTCAAATTTTATTTCTGAACTAAGTGGCCAAAACGTGCTTTAAAAAGATTTTGAACTTGACTTTCTCTAACTGCTTCAAAGCAAGAAATGTTAATTTTTTTCAGTAAAGGCCATCTTCTGTGAAAACGGCTACCAACTTACAAATTTCACTCAGTAATTCGTGTTACTAACTACCAGAAACAACGAATGTCAATTGTTATTCGTTAAACATCTCGTGGAAATAACTGCTTAAACTCCGATTTTCTCATTATTCAAGAAAAAATATGTGGTCCGGAGCATCTTCTGACCCCACCCTCTTACCGTTAATATCAGAATATAATTTGTTAGTGTTCTTGTCACGTCTCCCTAAGTTGCGCCTGAAATGGAATCATAAAAATACTAATTACGCGCATCCCTGCTGCTATGAACATTAATCACGTGAAACGGTGTATGTACATATAGTTTGTGCTTTTTAGGCTTTACATGTTCTTTTTTAGAAAAGCCGTGAAAGCTACACTTATGCAGTCTCGGCAGGTGATTTACACGGCGATGGTGACGTAACAGAGGAGCTGTCACGATAAGTAAGATTACGAACTAAAACTTGTGAATGAACGTTCCAGTTTAAAACAAGTATAATTGTAATTAGAACGAAGTTGAGCGTCATCAAAAAGCACTAAATTAGTTGGTTTTTGAAAATTTTGGAACATTGGGGAAGGGTAATGGCGCGCTGACGTTACCACCCGAAAGATCGGTGCAAGGTTCTAAGATGAGAATATAGTCGTCTGCGTTTACCCATTACCAGCCCTGCCAACCTAAAACACTCGATTTTGAATGTAATACTTACCGGCAGCCCTTATCACGCCCTTCACTAGACCATCGCTTTGAACCAAATGTAGAGATAGAGAAAAAGATTGTGCATCATGCAGAGCACAGGCTTTTTTTTTTGTATGTAGAACATTAAGATATCGCCAGAAATATTAGATATCCACTAAACTCACTTACTATGCATAAACAACCGACAAAATCGAAGACTCCACTTAACCTTTGCAAGAGAAATATTGTTTCCAGGAAATTGTGTCGTAATGTTTGCTGGCAGGAAATTTTGAAACCGAAACTGCGACGCTTGCGACAACATAATACTGACAATTTCAGATCACTAGGATTCGCTTAACTAAAGGGTTTGATATCCTCGGAAAATAATACTTGAATAACTTGTAGCACGCATCGCGTATTTGCCGAAATTATGCACCTCTACCGCTCGTTTTGAGAGGCAACAAAGCTTTTTTACACGTCTCTTGTCGCCTTGCCGTAAAGTCAATTTAACCGGCACATAAACAAAGAGGGCAAGTTACGATTTTGGATTGAAATGCTTTTTTACTTAAGCTTGCTGGCACGAGTGGGACCGAAGCACGAAGGTAGCAAAAGTGGCGATGCAGACGAGTTTGTTTATCACTAGGTAAGGTAAATACAGCGCAGAGTAAGACGAAGACAAAGAGGAGACAGATATCAGCTCATATGTGACCTCTCTTAAACACATATCGCAGACACATAAAAGCACATATTTGTGTAACTAGATACCGCCTCCTGAATAAGTGAACTATGCCGAAATAAAAATCAAGATTATTTTTTTTAAGAAAACGTGAAAATGTATTATTCCTTTGAACCCAGAATCCAGATGGTGTTTGCATAATGTGAGTGCAACACTTGTCTGCCAGTAGTACGAATGATACGGATGACCTAAAAAAACGCATGAAAGCTTTGCAGGTGACGGTTTGAAGGTTAAAACAGCTCCTCCTTAGGTGTTTTTCACCTAGCAAAAAACTGTCTGCTCACAAAAATTTACAACTCCCAATTTTAGAATATGGGAATGTCGTTTATGATCGAGTCATCGTTTGTTTTTGCCGGTTTTTTGTTAAGGTTTGTTGTTCTAGCGCTCGTCCTGGGTTCTTTATGCCATTCGTCTGTGCGCTGTCCTTACCTTCTCTTGTGCAAGGATAGACTAAAAACTTTCCGGAATCCAATTATTTCAAATGAACAGAATGCAAATATCAAATCGATTTATCCAATAGTCTAGTTTTGACAAGCGTTCAAGTGAAACAACCTTGTGCATTTTTAATCAAAAATAAAATCAATACATATATATATATATATATTTATATATATATTGCCGCGCGCGCTCGCCAAGTAGGCAGCGAGCGCGTGGCCTAATGGTTATCGCGCCTGCCTCCCACGCGAAAAGCTAGGGTTCGAATCCTGGAGCGACATGTCTTTTGTTTATTCCTCTAATTTAGTGTTCTGGAGAATTCGAGAATCATGTTGCTTGTTCCAGGCCCGAATGTTCCACGCGTCGAATTTTCTTCGCCGATTATTCCAGAAGACCACGCATGTACATAAGGGGCTCCGCGTGGCGAGCCGCAGTCACTTTCGCCCCAGCGTTCGACTGTGCTGCTACGCCGACTTCGACGCCCGCGACGCTCTGTTATTATCTTTGTACCCTTTTAGTTTTTGGCACAAGTTCGCCACATTAAACGTTTCTTTCTTTCTGTTTATTTAGTGTTCCTTTGGTCACCACCCGTGACATTTTGGTGGAGGTGCGGGGTAACCGCATGCCCGTGCAGCGCTCCCCTCCGAGTTCTCGGAGTGCAAGTTCGAACACAAGCCCCCAAGAACCCAACGAGGACCAGACCGAGATCCGATTAAGTCGCCGGAACCTTGGCCTACCCCCGGAGTTAGGACCCTTGCCACCCAGGACCAGGCAAACAAGGAGGACGACGATGGCCAACCAGTCGGAGACCCCGGCCGCTCCAGCCGTCGTTTACCTGCCCGTCGTACCGCGGACGGCTGCTCCATTCCACGGCGAGCAATACGAAGACGTCGAAGACTGGATTGACCAGTATGAACGCGTTGCCCGCCACAATTGCTGGACCGACGAGCAGCGCCTGAACAACGTCTATTTTTCGCTTGAGGGTACCGCCAAGCACTGGTACGAGAATCATGAGTCCTCTTTGACGTCGTGGGACATGTTCAAGACCGATCTCAAGGCTACGTTCAGCAACCACCACCGCCGAGAGAGAGCCGAGGACCTACTGCGAACCAGAACCCAGGGCCCCAACGAGAGCGTCAACGGCTTCGTCGAGGATGTTCTTCGCCTGAGCGCCCGCGCCGATCCTCAGACTACAGAGGAGAAGAAGCTGCGACACCTGATGAGGGGTGTGAAAAGCGAGATATTCGGAGGTCTCATTCGCAATCCCCCGACGACTGTGGACGGGTTCGTCACGGAGGCGACGAATATGGAACGTGCCCTACTAGCACGCGCCAGGCACTACGAGCGACACCCTGGCGTGACTACTCTGGCGACATCCGGATACAACCTTGGTACCGACCTCCCAGGCATCCGTGACATCATCCGTGAAGTCGTCCGGGAAGAAATCCGCAAGATGCTCCCCGCTATGGATCGCCCGTCCTCCCTGTCGCTAGCCGAGGTCGTGCGAGATGAAGTTCATCGGGCCTCCCAACCTGAGGTTCCGATCAACATGACGACGCCAGAGGAGCCGACTTTGAGCTACGCCGCCATGGCCCGACGACCGCCGCAAGCTAACCGCCAGGCCACGGCGCCACCCCGACGAGACCCTCCGATGTCACAGTATCCTCGACGCCAGTAAGGGCAAGTCCAGGACGTCCGTCCGGAGCAACCCTCGTCGAGGAAGACCGACGTGATGCGAACGGCCGACCGACGCCCGCTCTGCTACCACTGCGGGGAACCCGACCATGTGTACCGCCGATGCCCATACCGACGACTCGGGCTGCGCGGGTTCCACCCAAACGACCCGCGCCCCCGGTATGGTGAACGCCCTCGGGAGATCGACGAGTACCTGCGACGACCCCAGTCCCCCGAGCCTGCGTCCCGCCGAGAGTTCCGGTCGCCATCGCCGCGACGTCCAGCTTCGCCGATGCACCGACCCCGACGTGAAAGCCTGTCACCCCTCGCTCCTCGCCGGGGAAACTAGGCGCGGCAACCCCTGGAGGTGGAGTTGCCGAAGACGACCGACGTAAAGAGCCTCCAAGAACGACGGAGCGCTCCCACTCCCCCGACGCCACGCATCGCTACGACGCCCCTGCAACGGTGTCCAACAACCTAAACGTCGTCATTGACGGCCACGACGCATCGGCACTCGTGGACACCGGAGCAGACTACTCAGTCTTGAGTGGGAGGCTCTCCCGCCGCCTTCGAAAAGTCATGACGCCGTGGGAAGGACCCCAAATACGAACTGCCGGAGGACATCTCATTACACCAGTCGGGAGATGCACTGCTCGCGTCGAGATCCACGGTGAAACGTGCCCTGTCAGGTTCGTCATTCTACAAGACTGTTCGAGGGACGGTATCCTCGGAATGGACTTTCTCTGCGAGTATGGCGCCGTCATCGACCTCAGAACAAACCGGCTGACGCAACGAAAACCTGCTCCACCATCGAAGGAGCCCCAAGCGACGTCACCCACGGTCCGAGTCCTCGCAAACCACGTAAACCTACCACCGCGGTCGAGTGTTTTCGTGCTTGTCGGGATCGATGAAGCTTCCTATGGTGAAGTTCTTCTCGAGGGAAACCTCCAATTGCTCCTAGGAAGAGGCATAGGCGTCGCAAGGGGAGTAGCTGAACTTCAGGATGGGCGGACTGTGGCCCTCGTGACGAACTTCCGAAACGAAACGCAACATCTCACGAAAGGTGCAGCCGTGGGCCACGTCGAGGAACTCCGAAACCCCGCCGAAATCACCGCGATTACTGACGAATTCTCGCCGTCCCAGCAAGACAGTACGTCGCCAGCGCAGCTCGACATTGACCCTAAGCTTCCGGACCCTAAACGACGTCAGCTGGTTAACCTCCTCGCCGAATACCGCGACTGCTTTGCGACGTCGTCGAAGGTGCGCCAGACCGCGGTTGCCAAGCACCGCATCGTTACCGAGGACGACGCGCGCCCTGTGCATCGATCACCGTACAGAGTCTCCGCGAAGGAAAGGGAGGTGATCCAGCAGCAAGTTCAAGAGATGCTGAATGACGACATAATCCAACCTTCAAGCAGTCCATGGGCCTCTCCAGTCGTGCTGGTTAAGAAGAAGGACGGAACTCTTCGGTTCTGCGTGGACTACCGGCAGCTCAACACGGTTACGAAGAAAGACGTCTACCCACTGCCCCGCATCGACGACACTCTAGACCGGCTGCGCCACTCTCGATACTTTTCATCGATGGACCTGAAGAGCGGCTACTGGCAAATCGAGGTCGACGAACGGCACCGAGAGAAGACAGCCTTCGTCACGCCGGATGGACTCTACGAGTTCAAGGTGATGCCCTTCGGACTATGCACGGCGCCAGCAACTTTCCAG